TCTATCTCCTAATAGATAGACTCTGAACTTCGCGAGTGCATACTTCATGGCAAGGAGTTCCTTGTCATGCACTGGATAGTTCCGCTCAGCTGGTTGCAGCTGACGCGACTGATAGCAGACGACGCGTTCAACGCCTTCAAGATCGTACTGCATTAATGCACAGCCGATTGCGAAATCGCTGGCATCACAGACCACATGAAATGGCCTGTCCTGATCGGCTATTGCTAGGACTGGGGATTGTATCAAGCTCTGCTTGATACCCTCAAAGGAGCGTTGACATTCAGCGTTCCATAACCACCTCTCGTTCTTTTTCAACAAACGAGAGAGGTGTACAGTCATCTCGGCGTAATTGCGTGAATACTTATGCAAATACGCCGCTAGCCCAAGGAATTTTCGAAGACCTTTGACATCGACCGGCACGGGCCAGTCGGTGATCGCCTTGATCTTTTCGGGATCAGGACGTACACCGTTCTTACCAACGATGCACCCAAGAAGTGGTATTTCGCTTGCTGCAAATATACACTTCTTGAGGTTTGCATACAATTGATGCTTTCGCATGATTGTAAGAACTTGTCGGACGTGGTACTTGTGAACCTCAACGTCCGACTTTCCATCCATAGCTCGACTATGGATGAATACGTCATCGAAATAACTCGGCGCGAATTCTCGTACTGGCCTCAACAGATGTGATACACACCTGTTGAACGTGGCAGGGGCATTACTGAGCCCTTGTGGCATTACTAGCCATTCCCAGAGCATGCCGCTAGGCGTGCTAACTGCGGTATAGGGTATATCCCGTTCCCGCATTAGGATTTGATAGAAGCCATCCATCAAATCCATGGACGAAAAGATGGTACTCTTTGACATACCATCAATGATTACGTCCTTCCTCGGTATCGGCGTCTGAGCCGGTACCGTTGCAGCGTTCAATTTGTTAAACGCGTGCACTATCCGCCACCCTCCTGTTGCTTTTCGCACACAGAAGGTCGGAGAGCTATGTGGGGAAGTTGATTCCCTCACATGGCCCGCTGCTAAACGATCGGCAAAGAACTTGTCGATCGCAAGTACTTGTTCACGAGGCAGTGACCACTGCTTCATGACACAGTACTTCGAGCCTGGTTTAAGCTCGACTTCGTGTCGAATACCTTTATCCTTCGGTAATTCGCACGGAACAGTTTCAGGGAATACATCCTTATATTCCACCAAATCTTCATAGAGAGGATTTTCCTTGAGCGATTCCCATGATTGGGACTCATATCGCTCAATTCGTGTCTTTTCATCTAGGACACTCTCGTCCATAGATGAACTACTGAGAACTCTCTCGTTCTCAGTAAACACTGTTGCTGACCTTATGTCGGTTACATACTCGTCTTCAGCGACGAGTATGCAGATCTGCTTGACTTTGCCACTACGCAGATCACGCAAGAATATTTTATGTTCGAGCGTTGGCAACTGAGTGATCTCCGAAGTTAACTTCGGAGGCGCAATCAGATCAAGTGTATAAGCGCCTACACATGATCCGTTATTGACTATGACATTCAATGTCTCTGTCATTTCCTGGGGACTTATTCCCTCAGGCTTCGAAGGACTTATTCCTTCGTCTTCCCGGGGACTTATTCCCGCGGGTTTCGGGGAACTTATTTCCGCCGTATTTGTAATCTTGGGACTTATTCCCTTTACTTCCTCTAGCTGGGGTTGCGCAACCACAGCGAGATCCTCTACGAAAGACTCTCCAGTCGATCTAGGATTATCGTTTCGCTTAACCTGAGCGATCGATTGTTTCTCTTCTAGATGTTCCCCTCTAGGGATACATCTTTGTCCCAGTCCACCCGACTTATTCGAGTGGTGGACCTTCGGCGCAGCCTGTGTTTCCTCACAGCCGCCGGAACTTTGCTCCGAAGTGTAACCGTTTGGTACACTAAGGTTTTGTGCAGTCGTACTAACGACCGTACCACAAGTGAGGCCATCGCACTCACTCGTAGTACATCCACACGCTTGTGGACGCTCCAAAACGTTCATCAGATGGCCATCTGATGAACAAGCGGCGGGCATCGTTACTGTCCGATGTTGCCAGTTTACCCGTGGTTCGTACCTTCTGAGCTACGGTATTCCAAGGAAGACATCAAATTTGTCATCCAAATCCAATACGATAAAGTCATCGTCGTATTGGGTATCTTCTAGCGTATAGTGAATCTTCACTATACGCTTCATGACGGTTACGGATGCGCCTGTCGCAAGACGTACCGTCATCCTCGTAGGAGGTGTGTCACATTCACTGAATTTAAAGTGACCATCTTCTAGCGATTGGCGTCGCACAAAATTGTTGGACGCCCCACAATCGACTAGGGCTCGAAGGGACAACTTATTCGTCACTTCGAGTTTCAAGGTAATGAGTGAGATCTCATTACCTAGAGCAGCAACGCACAATGTCTGTGTGTTGGGAGCAACCTTCATCAAGAGGCCTACAAATTCTCTTGACGTTGCTGGATCAGTAGGGTGCTCCGCACCTACTGATCCTGTCCGTTTTTGACGGTCCATCCCGTTGTTGCGTCTTTGCACCAACTGCGGACCCTCGTCCCTGCCCCTTTCTCATGGGTGGACGGTCACTACGCCCAGTGTCGCGAGACACTGGACGAGGGGCACTACACTCGTAAGCGTAGTGTCCTGTCTTTTGACATCTGTTGCATCTCTGCAACTTCTTGTAGCCTGTAGAGCGAGCCTTCTCGCTCTCTACATAACAGAGTTCCATCGGCTCTGGACCTCCGTTGTCATATCGTCTCGGTTGACGATATGATGTCGAGCTGGCGCGAGCCTGTCTCAGACTGAAGTCTTCCTGCTCCGCAATGGAAATGGCTTGTTCTAGTGAATCTAGTTCAATCCGGAACAGGTGAGTCTTGACGGGACCATCCGCAAGACCCTGCATGAACACCGAAACCAACGTGTGTTCATCCACCGGATTGGAACTTATACAACTCGTGAGATGTCGTATATGTTGAGCGTAAGCGTGCACATCACGCTTACCCTGCTTGAGCTTCAAGAGTTCGGTTCGAGCTCTGAACTCAGCTCTAGGCGGTTCAAACGTTTGTCTGAGCCGCGACTTGAAGACTTCCAACGACCCAAACGCATATGGGTCGTGCAACTTGAGCCCCAGTGCCCAAGTCTTGGCACGTCCTACCAGATTTGACTGGGCAAATGCAACTTGCATATCCCCGTCGTCGATGCGACGCGCCCTTATGGCGTCATCCAATTCGACGAACCATCTCAAGAGGGAGTCTTCTTCGACCCCCCTATACTTGGAGATGTCAATCTTCAAGGTTTCGGGTCGACGCGAGTGCATCGACCCACCAGCAGCAGCCTGCTGCTGTCTCAACAGTTCAAACTGTTGAGCACCCTGTTCTCTCAACAACTCTGCTTGTTGAGAACCTTGTTGGTGAAGCAAGGCTACTTTCTTGCGTTCTGCGTCAAGTTCATTTTGAATGAACTTGGCGATAGTAGCATGTTGGGCATCTCTATTGAGAGCCTCTAGCATGACGCTAACAGCATGGATGCCCATGGTCGAACCCATCCGTTCAACCGCATCCCATTCGATATCGCTCAAATGGGAGTAGCCGTCACGCGTAGCGTGAAAGCTTTGGTCATCTTCATCATCCAACATATTCATATTGGATGTGAACGCGGTCCTTGAACGGACTACGAAGTGCTACCAGGTGTAACGGGGCACCCTGAAGCTTGTACTGGTGACAGTACAAGCTACTTATTCTGATGACAGAATAAGGCGGTGCCTCGTAACTTCACGTACACTGGTACGTGCAGAGGAAGACGGTAAGAAGAAGCGAGTACTTTGTTAGAGTAAAAAGTAGAACTGTATTTAGTATAGTTAATGTCTGCAATAAATCACTATTTATCTTCACCTAACTATGTCTAAATACAAATGTGTAAATCAAATATCTGCTCACCACTCATTGCGTGCGTCTGTCGTGGCGCGTCTTCGTTGGTTGATATAATGGCCTATATCAACCAATTAGGAACTACTTGGAAGTGCTACAGAATATTGTCCTTATGACAATATTCTGAGAATATAACTCTTATAGTTATATTCTATTAACAATTTCTTATAAATTGTTATGTAACGATTCACCCCGTTACAGTTGTCATTCATTCGTTCTTCATGAGCCCTCGGGTAGCACTTTCCATCCGAATGGACGTTGGTTATCGAACACGTGCTAAGGTAATGCGCACGGTCGATTAAGCGAGCGCATCATAGTTTAATGCTTTCTGCTCGGTCGCATGGGATGGACTAACGTCTGCTACTATCGCATGACCTGATGGTCGGATGCAACTTACCCAGTCACTCTACTTTGTGATACTAAAAGCACTTGGCACTCTGTGGCTGGTGTAACTCGATGGGCATCTACATTTCTCTGTTTCTGTTCTGAAGTAACTCGAAAGAGGGTTAGAAATTACTCAGATTGCTCAGAACCTAACACTTACCAGCGATCGGTAGACGCCCCGTTTGTAACGGGGTGAATCGTTACATAACAATTTATAAGAAATTGTTAATAGAATATAACTATAAGAGTTATATTCTCAGAATATTGTCATAAGGACAATATCCTGTAGCACTTCCAAGTAGTTCCTAATTGGTTGATATAGGCCATTATATCAACCAACGAAGACGCGCCACGACAGACGCACGCAATGAGTGGTGAGCAGATAACTGATTTACACATTTGTATTTAGACATAGTTAGATGAAGATAAATAGTGATTTATTGCAGACATTAACTATTATAAATACAGTTCTACTTTTTACTCTAACCGAGTACTCGCTTCTTCTTACCGTCTTCCTCTGCACGTACGAGTGTACGTGAAGTTACGAGGCACCGCCTTATTCTGTTATCAGAATAAGTAGCTTGTACTGTCACCAGTACAAGCTTCAGGGTGCCCCGTTACACCTGGTAGCACTTTGTAGTCCGTCCAAGGACCGCGTTCACATCCAACATGAATATGTTGGATGATGAAGATGACCAAAGCTTTCACGCTACGCGTGACGGCTACTCCCATTTGAGCGATGTCGAATGGGATGCGGTTGAACGAATGGGTTCGACCATGGGCATCCATGCTGTTAGCGTCATGCTAGAGGCTCTCAATAGAGATGCCCAACATGCTACTATCGCCAAGTTCATTCAAAATGAACTTGACGCAGAACGCGAGAAAGTAGCCTTGCTTCACCAACAAGGTTCTCAACAAGCAGAGTTGTTGAGAGAACAAGGTGCTCAACAGTTTGAACTGTTGAGACAGCAGCAGGCTGCTGCTGGCGGGTCGATGCACTCGCGTCGGCCCGAGACTTTGAAGATTGACATCTCAAAGTATAGGGGGTCGAAGAAGACTCCTCTTGAGATGGTTCGTCGAATTGGATGACGCCATAAGGGCGCTCGCATCGACGGACGGGGATATGCAAGTTGCATTTGCCCAATCAAATCTGGCAGGACGTGCCAAGACTTGGGCACTGGGGCTCAAGCTGCACGACCCATATGCGTTTGGGTCGTTGGAAGTCTTCAAGTCGCGGCTCAGACAAACGTTTGAACCTGCCTAGAGCTGAGTTCAGGGCTCGAACCGAACTCTTGAAGCTCAAGCAGGGTAAGCGTGATGTGCACGCTTACGCTCAACATATACGACATCTCACGAGTTGTATAAGTTCCAATCCGGTGGATGAACACACGTTGGTTTCGGTGTTCATGCAGGGTCTTGCGGATGGTCCCGTCAAGACTCACCTGTTCCGGCTTGAACTAGATTCACTAGAACAAGCCATTTCAATTGCGGAGCAGGAAGACTTCAGTCTGAGACAGGCTCGCGCCAGCTCGACATCATATCGTCAACCGAGACGATATGACAACGGAGGTCCAGAGCCGATGGAACTCTGTTATGTAGAGAGCGAGAAGGCTCGCTCTACAGGCTACAAGAAGTTGCAGAGATGCAACAGATGTCAAAAGACAGGACACTACGCTTACGAGTGTAGTGCCCCTCGTCCAGTGTCTCGCGACACTGGGCGTAGTGACCGTCCACCCATGAGAAAGGGGCAGGGACGAGGGTCCGCAGTTGGTGCAAAGACGCAACAACGGGATGGACCGTCAAAAAACGGACAGGATCAGTAGGTGCGGAGCACCCTACTGATCCAGCAACGTCAAGAGAATTTGTAGGCCTCTTGATGAAGGTTGCTCCCAACACACAGACATTGTGCGTTGCTGCTCTAGGTAATGAGATCTCACTCATTACCTTGAAACTCGAAGTGACGAATAAGTTGTCCCTTCGAGCTCTAGTCGATTGTGGGGCGTCCAACAATTTTGTGCGACGCCAATCGCTAGAAGATGGTCACTTTAAATTCAGTGAATGTGACACACCTCCTACGAGGATGACGGTACGTCTTGCGACAGGCGCATCCGTAACCAATATGAAGCGTATAGTGAAGATCCACTATACGCTAGAAGATACCCAATACGACGATGACTTTATCGTATTGGATTTGGATGACAAATTTGATGTCATCCTTGGAATACCGTGGCTCAGAAGGTACGAACCACGGGTAAACTGGCAACATCGGACAGTAACGATGCCTGCCGCTTGTTCATCAGATGGCCATCTGATGAACGTTTTGGAGCGTCCACAAGCGTGTGGATGTACTACGAGTGAGTGCGATGGCCTCACTTGTGGTACGGTCGTTAGTACGACTGCACAAAACCTTAGTGTACCAAACGGTTACACTTCGGAGCAAAGTTCCGGCGGCTGTGAGGAAACACAGGCTGCGCCGAAGGTCCACCACTCGAATAAGTCGGGTGGACTGGGACAAAGATGTATCCCTAGAGGGGAACATCTAGAAGATAAACAATCGATCGCTCAGGTTAAGCGAAACGATAATCCTAGATCGACTGGAGAGTCTTTCGTAGAGGATCTCGCTGTGGTTGCGCAACCCCAGCTAGAGGAAGTAAAGGGAATAAGTCCCAAGATTACAAATACGGCGGAAATAAGTTCCCCGAAACCCGCGGGAATAAGTCCCCGGGAAGACGAAGGAATAAGTCCTTCGAAGCCTGAGGGAATAAGTCCCCAGGAAATGACAGAGACATTGAATGTCATAGTCAATAACGGATCATGTGTAGGCGCTTATACACTTGATCTGATTGCGCCTCCGAAGTTAACTTCGGAGATCACTCAGTTGCCAACGCTCGAACATAAAAGGTTCTTGCGTGATCTGCGTAGTGGCAAAGTCAAGCAGATCTGCATACTCGTCGCTGACGACGAGTGTGTAACCGACATAAGGTCAGCAACAGTGTTCACTGAGAACGAGAGAGTTCTCAGTAGTTCATCTATGGACGAGAGTGTCCTAGATGAAAAGACACGAATTGAGCGATATGAGTCCCAATCATGGGAATCGCTCAAGGAAAACCCTCTCTATGAGGATTTGGTTGAATTCAAGGATGTATTCCCTGAAACTGTTCCGTGCGAATTACCGAAGGATAAAGGTATTCGACACGAAGTCGAGCTTAAACCAGGCTCGAAGTACTGTGTCATGAAGCAGTGGCCACTGCCTCGTGAACAAGTACTTGCGATCGACAAGTTCTTTGCCGATCGTTTAGCAGCGGGCCATGTGAGGGAATCAACTTCCCCACATAGCTCTCCGACCTTCTGTGTGCGAAAAGCAACAGGAGGGTGGCGGATAGTGCACGCGTTTAACAAATTGAACGCTGCAACGGTACCGGCTCAGACGCCGATACCGAGGAAGGACGTAATCATTGATGGTATGTCAAAGAGTACCATCTTTTCGTCCATGGATTTGATGGATGGCTTCTATCAAATCCTAATGCGGGAACGGGATATACCCTATACCGCAGTTAGCACGCCTAGCGGCATGCTCTGGGAATGGCTAGTAATGCCACAAGGGCTCAGTAATGCCCCTGCCACGTTCAACAGGTGTGTATCACATCTGTTGAGGCCAGTACGAGAATTCGCGCCGAGTTATTTCGATGACGTATTCATCCATAGTCGAGCTATGGATGGAAAGTCGGACGTTGAGGTTCACAAGTACCACGTCCGACAAGTTCTTACAATCATGCGAAAGCATCAATTGTATGCAAACCTCAAGAAGTGTATATTTGCAGCAAGCGAAATACCACTTCTTGGGTGCATCGTTGGTAAGAACGGTGTACGTCCTGATCCCGAAAAAGATCAAGGCGATCACCGACTGGCCCGTGCCGGTCGATGTCAAAGGTCTTCGAAAATTCCTTGGGCTAGCGGCGTATTTGCATAAGTATTCACGCAATTACGCCGAGATGACTGTACACCTCTCTCGTTTGTTGAAAAAGAACGAGAGGTGGTTATGGAACGCTGAATGTCAACGCTCCTTTGAGGGTATCAAGCAGAGCTTGATACAATCCCCAGTCCTAGCAATAGCCGATCAGGACAGGCCATTTCATGTGGTCTGTGATGCCAGCGATTTCGCAATCGGCTGTGCATTAATGCAGTACGACCTTGAAGGCGTTGAACGCGTCGTCTGCTATCAGTCGCGTCAGCTGCAACCAGCTGAGCGGAACTATCCAGTGCATGACAAGGAACTCCTTGCCATGAAGTATGCACTCGCGAAGTTCAGAGTCTATCTATTAGGAGATAGACCCTTCGTTGTTTACACTGACCATGCGTCCTTACGCACGGCAGTGAACAGCCCGCACCTTTCACAACGAATGGCGCGGTGGTTGTCATTCTTTGCAGAATACAACTTTACGGTCGAGTACAAACCAGGACGACTTAATGTCGTCGCTGATGCACTCTCACGTCGTCCCGACTTTGAAACAGTCGCGAAACCCAACAGTGAGACAGTCACTGTTGCGGTTATGACGTCCTCAGTTCCATCTACAACGTTGTATGATGATGTGAGGCGGGCATACGCCCAAGATGGTGAGATAGTGAAGTTGTTGTCACATCTCTCCCAACCATCTCGAGAATCGTTGAAACGATTGTCGTCTGCGTATCGATCTGCATCAGATCGATACACTACTCGTAACGGTTTACTGTACTATACAGCCGTTTCTGGTGACACATTACGTGTTGTCATTCCAGATGATACTGATCTGCGTTTGCGGATCATGTTCGAGTATCACGATGCTCCTATAGGAGGACATCGTGGCCGAGAGAAAACATATCTCACGGTGAGTCGAGACTTTTACTGGCCCCGCCAGTATCAGTTTGTGCGAAAGTATGTTCGCGCATGCGAAGTCTGCCAACGAGTGAAGTCAAGTCCTTCACTGCGTGCACCTTTACAGCCTCTACCGGTTCCGGCTGAGTGCTGGGAATCCATCTCAATGGATTTCGTCTTCGGGTTACCCAAAGACGCACGCGGGAATACGGGTATTCTCGTATTTGTTGACAGATTCAGCAAAATGGTACACCTTGTGGCTGTACCAGAGACAATCACGGCAAGTGGCTGTGCTTGTGTCTTTATTGACACCATCTTCCGACTTCATGGGTTGCCCCGTGAACTCGTATCAGACAGAGATCCACGATTCACTGCTGATTTCTGGCGTTCCGTGTTCAAATCACTCGGAACGCGCTTGAAGATGTCAACATCTGATCATCCAGAGTCAGATGGTCAGACGGAACGTGCCAATCGTGTCCTTGAAGAGATACTTCGAGGATACGTACACTCCTTTAAAAGTTGGAGTGAGTTTTTGCCAATGGTAGAGTTTGCCATCAACAACTCGGTGCATGCGTCCACGACACATACACCGTTTTACGTGAATGGCTTGCGCCATCCGCGTGTACCCACCTTACTAGAGTGTAACTCTGGTTTAAGGGGGGAGGGACTCGCGCGAGCAAAAACCGATTTGGTTCACGCTCATCACGCTCTGACGAAGAAGTCATTGCGTTTGATGCCGATATCGATAACATCGATATCGAAGAAGATGATGCCAGTGAGAGTGCGGAAGCCCTCACTGAAGACAATGATCCCAGTGAGAGTGCGGAAGCCCTCACTGATGAAAAGGTTGTTGTCGCTGCAGTGCGCTCACAGCACACTAAAGCTAACGAGTCATCAGATGAGTTCATACTGGCTCGTGAAACGGTAGTCCGTTTTGTGCAAGACTCCATCGCCGAAGCGGTGGATAAGCAAAAGCAAAACGCTGACAAGAATGGAAGGGCAAACACTCTTTTATTTAGTAAAGGTGACTTAGTCCTACTGTCTACGGTTAATCTACCAAAACATGTAGTGACTAACTTGGGTAGCAGTAAACTACTACCCAAGTACATTGGCCCATTTCGTGTATTGCACCGCCTAGGCAATGCATACACGATCGAGTTACCACGTAAGATGCGAACGCATCCCACGTTTTACGTTGGTCGGCTTAAGCCGTACCATCAGTACGCTGCTTCTTCCGATGAAGAACGCCCTTGCGCTCAAGCATCTCGCAGAGAGCCTTGTGCTCCCGATGGTGGGCATCAACAAGGGTCTGAAGAGCAGTTATCTCAGCCCGAGACCGATCAACAATCCCACGAGCTACCCTTAGCTCGTCACGAAGAGATGTCAGAGATCTCTCGTTCTCAAGCTGAGCA